GAGCGCTGCAACCCTAGAGTCGGACTCGACTGGCTTTCGTGCAAGGGGACGTGCATCAGTGTACCTGGGTAGCCCATGAAATACGTAGAATCCTCTGTTAGTCGTGCATTGGCTGTATTAATTGTGATGCTGTCAGGAGCCAGCCACTTTTGACAGCGCTGGCTCTTCGGCTTTGAAACGGAGATGAGCACCACAACCCTAGAGTCGGACTCGACTGGCTTTCGAGCAAGGGGACCTTTACCTATGCATCAGTGTACCCGGGTAGCCCATGAAATACATAGAATCCTCTGTTAGTCGTGCATTGGCTGTATTTGTGATGCTGTCAGGAGCCAGCCACTTTTCTGTTGGAAGGAGGGATGGCTAAATGGAACCTTCGTATTCAGAGGCAACATACCTGCGCAGAACAGTAGCCACAGAGAAGGCAGAGCAGTAGCGGTTGAGGGCTCTTGCCTCCGTGCCATGTCTGGGTTTCCTGGGGACCTCTGGTCGGTCACTGTGTAAGGAGCAAGATGCTGGACTGGACGGACCCTCTGATCCAGCATGGCTCCTTTACGTGGTTTTTATCTGTATTGCAGATGGGAGGGCAGATGGACTAACCTAGGGCCACTTGAGAGCCAGCATGGTGCAGTGGTTTAGAGCGGTGGACTTTAATCTGGAGGATCAGGTTTGATTCCCCCACTCCTCCTCCTCCACATGAAGCCTGCTGGGTGACCTTGGGCCAGTCACAGTTCGCTCAGAACTCTCAGCCTCACCTACCTCATAAGGGGCCTTTTGTGGGGAGAGGAAGGGAAGGCGATTGTAAGCTGTTTGAAACTCCTAAAGGTAGAGAAAAGCGGGGTATAAAAGCCAACTCTTCTAATGATGATAATTTTGTGGCGAAGAAGACTTTTCAGACTGGGGCCCTCCTGACTCATAGTTTGTCTCTTAACCTTTGTGCTATGTCAGCTGAAGATACACATATAACAGGGCTTTAAAATGCTATAAAATGCTGACTTTTTGTCTTGGAAGCTTCCTGTTGAAAACATTTGTGTGCTTAAATGTATAGCTTGCCATATGGTGGGTTGCGGTGGCAGAAGAAGTACAGTTAAAAAGGTGATCCCCCCCACACACACACACTATGGCACTGTGTAGTTCACAGTGGAGCTATTTCTGAAGCCCTTGAGGCTGATGCCATGGAACCAGTTAACACTTTTGCTAGGAAAAAAGTGGTAGAGCTCTGGATTAAATGTCTGGCGTACTGTGGTTTTTATTTCTGCCTGCACTGGAAGTGCCATAGCACCAGCTGTAGGCTTCCGTCTTAGTTCCCGCAGGCCTGGCTGGTGGGGCAGGTTGGCCTGGTAGTGGCCGGGTGGGCAGTCAGTTGCAGCCGTGTTTTCACCAGCCGCAGCTTGAGATTCACTGTTTTCCTGCAGGTTCCAGCCTTTGAAGGAGATGACGGCTTCTGTGTGTTTGAGAGCAACGCCATTGCACATTACGGTAATTCCGTTTCCTTTTGTCTCCACTTTTTGCAAGAAGGGACACCTGGATTGTCCAGAGTCCTAGACTGGTGCCGAGCAAGCTGCTCCTTAAATTGCACACAGGCTGGAGTTAGCTGCTAGTGGAGTGGGGGACTGGAAGTATGGGTGGGCAGCAAAAGCCCAGGGTTCAAGCGTGACACCTAAGAACAAGCTATCAAAACCATATCCTGCTTTTGGCTTGAACCCCCCCCCCTTTTAAAATGCCCCACGTCTTATTCCGGTGCCCATGGGTGAATGATAGTTGGGCGTCAGCTGGGGAAACCCTCTTGACTCACCCTTGTTGGTGGCCCCGCTCTCCAAGGTAACTGGCTGCTTCCCTCCTTCCAGTCAGCAACGACGAGCTGCGAGGAACCACCAAGGAGGCAGCCGCCCAGATCATCCAGTGGGTGAGCTTTGCTGACAGCGACGTCGTCCCTCCTGCCAGTACTTGGGTCTTCCCCACGTTGGGCATCATGTGTTATAACAAGCAGGTGAGCTGTGAATACAGAGTCAACCCAGCATTCCCTGTTCTGACTGAGAGCTGCTCCACAGTGACACGGTGCAGAAATGTCTTGCCAGCGCCTGCGACCAGAGATGCTGAGATTCAAACGCAGGATCCTGTGCATGCACAGCAGGTGCTTTTGCTGAGCTATGGACCCTGTCCTGTGTGAGATGCTTCGGTCACATACAATGGGGTGGGGGTACTCATCAGCCAGTTTCCTAACTCCAGTGTAGACACTTTTAAAAATGTTTCATAACCTTCACAGTCGTGTAGAAAAAGGCACACAGGCTCTAAATGCACTCTAATATCTGTTGCATTTCACAGTATATGTTGTGACAATTCCAGTATTTAGTTTACTAGGACCAAATATCAACAAACATCAAAGCTGACCATAATTTCCATGTCCACGCATAGAAATTGTAATCTTATTCATACACCACACGTACCAGATTTTTAACAGTTGCATCAGTGACAGGGTAGATTGCTGCTTCCTCTTCTGAGCTAAGGTCATATTGGCTGTAATAACTGGTTGCTGTAAGAGATACCTCTTGTTTTCCCATTCTAGCTGGGAATTCACCTAAAAGAAGAATCCTCAGCATCGAATCAAAAACATCGCACAAAAAACTCTGTTTCTTTATGAACTTTGTACTAGAGCAGACATGGTGGTCATGTAAGGCCTTGAAATTCTACAGGTCTTTTGACACCTTTGAAGACGGACAGATTTTTTGTGAAACATTCATCTTAAGTCGAAGGTGTTGCAAGAATTTGGGTTGTCGCAGCAGACTAACACAGCTTCCCCTGCTGTGGAATTTCCTCCCTAAATTGTGTGTGTGTTTTTTTCTCTCTCTCTCCAGGCCACGGAATATGCCAAGGAGGAAGTGAAGAGGATTCTGAGCACCCTTGACTCCCATCTGAAAACCAGGACATTCCTGGTGGGCGAGCGGGTCACGTTGGCTGACATCACGGTCGTCTGCACTCTCCTCTGGCTTTACAAGCAGGTGGGTCCCTAGTGGCTGGCTGGGGAAGACGGCACAGGTACCGGTATTCTGTGCCTTAAACACGGTTCACCTCTCATAGACGAAGGAAATGGGCCATGTGGGACTTGTTCAGCTTCTCTGGCAAATAGGAGTCTGTGTAGCCGGCTTCTCTGGGTAGCCAGGACTGAAGGGGTTGGATCGGTCATCTGTTCTGTGATCCTGGGTAGAGATGTGAAGGCCCGGGGAAAAAACGTTTGTCTTTTTCCCCTGTTTTTTCCCTGAAGCCTTTTTTGTTTTTTTCCGAAAAATTGGAAAAAGAAAAGAAACAAATTGATTATGGAATGTTTTATTTTAACATGATGAATAAAATATTTTAAGACAAGGCGTTCAAATATTTTCCAAATCTTTTTGGATATATGGTATCAGATTGATCTAATTTCTGTGCACTGAGGACAAGCAAATCCTAGGTTACAAACTGAACTCTCCAATGCAAGAACAAGATGCATTTCTTCCTTTAGGAGGTGCGATTGTCAGAAGAAAATAAAAAGGTTTCAGTTTTGTGTTTGCATTTTTCCGAAAATTTCTGGTTTTTCTTGAAAAAAACGGGAAAAAATGGGGTTTTTTCCGAGCTTCAAAATTTCTGGAAATTTTACATCTCTAGTCCTGGATTTTTGATGGGGAAGGGCTCAGTGCTGAGAGAGCATGGAAATGGCCTCTTTCCCCCTTCGGATTTGGGGCTTCGGTTGCATCTTCCCACTTTGCTTGGGTGACTGCCAGAGCTGCTTGGAGCTGGTGAGAACAACAGATCCATAGCTCTACTGCACAAGACGTCTTGTTTTCCAAATTGGGGGGGGAGGGAGATAGAAGATCCCAAACGTGCAAGAACGCTGTTGAAAATTCACATCCACCAGTCCAAAGAAGTTGCAGAAATCTCTCCTTCCGAGCTCTAGATGCTGGGTAATCTGTTTCTGCTAGTCGTGATGGAAGAGACTTTGGAGGAAGCTTTGAGCTCACTAAGAGAGACTTTTTGCAGCGTTCATTGAAAAATTTGGATAAATCTTTTGGTATTTGGCAACCTCGTGCTTGGAAATGTCTGTTGAACTCCTTGAGGACGACACTGAAACAGGAGGGTATCTGGACCTCTGTTGGAGGGAGACTGAGCACTTATTCAAAATAGACTTAAAGGAGTCCTCCCTCTTAAAACCTTTGTATAATTAAGAAGGACTGATATTAATAAAGGGATTGTGCAATAGCTTTTGTGACATATTAAGAGATGATATTTAGATGTTATGATTCTATGTATTAAGGCTTATGTGATAAATAATATATGGTGAATAAATTGTAAAAATATAAAACAAAAACTATACAAAAATTACTTGAGATATTTTATAATCGTCTGTAGCACAGTATTTGCTGATTTTTGTTATTTCCTACTTACCGTGGGTCCTATTTTGGTTTTGGGTAATCTGTTTCCGCTAGTCGCGATGGAAGAGCAAGAACCTACACCTGGGCATTTCAGGCATCCCAGTCAAAGCAAGGAGGCTTGTGCTGAGATTCTCAGCTACTGCCTAAGAACTTCCTCGTTCTCTTCACTGGCAGGTTTTGGAGCCCTCTTTCCGCCAGCCTTACGGCAACGTCAACCGTTGGTTTGTGACCTGCATAAACCAACCGCAGTTCAAGGCTGTCCTGGGAGAGGTGAAGCTGTGCGAGAAGATGGCGCAGTTTGACGGTAAGGGCAGCTGTGATGGACAGCGCTGGCCTTCTGTGGGTCGACCAAAGGAGGTTGTTGATTGGTCGCCCCTCTTGTTTTTCAGATCTGTGAGGTCTGTTGCCATTTATTGATAAGTGAGTGGGAAAGTGGGAGGGAGGTGGGGGGTGTCTTCCCAACTCTGCCTTCCAGTTTTCTTGCAAAATGGGGCTGGCTGGAGAATGTCAAAATATCTTCAGCGAAAGGGGGTGGGGGGGGGTTGTACCCTCTCTGCTCCTAGTTGCCTTCTGCTCCATGGTCACACTGAGCTGCCTTGTAACACAATCACTGCCGGTTTGAGCATGTTTGGGGGTACATCATTCTGTCCAAGTGAAGCCACTTCAGAGTGAAAGCAGTGCTTCCCAGATGACACCACCCACACTCTCTGTGTGGGGGCAAGGAGGAGGAGTGGGGCCGTGATTGAACACGGGCTCTAGGAAAGACAGTGGCCGTCCGCTGCTCAGGTAAACCCCCAGGGCCTTTCCTGGAGGTCTGCCGGTGCCATGAGATCCGTGAGACGGGCAAATGCTCTGCAGCTTCCATCATTCAAAGTAGAGCCTTTTTTTGTAGCGTGCCAACGAGGGGGTCTGCTTGGGATCCTCTGAAACCAATAGAAAATCTTAAAATACAAGAATCCAACTTAAGTTGGTGGGAAATAGAATCAAGATACACCAAAGATGAACAAATAGGTTTTTATTCAAAAATAACAGAAATAGACAAGGTATTGTTACATACTGATAAAAAACTGATTAAAAAAGATGAAATAGTTAAAAACTGTATGGTCCAATGGGTGCAAGATTTGGGTCATAATACTCATGTAGACCAATGGCCACAGGTATGGAAAACAAATGTAAAGATTACGAGAGCAATTTCATTTAAAGAAAATTATCTGTAAAATGTTTTATAAATGGTATATCACTCCAGACAAATTAGCAAAGTTTTATCCTGGGCTACCAAATGATTGTTGGAAGTGTCAAAAAAAAAAAGTTGGTTCTTTTTTTCATATGTGGTGGACATGCGATAGAGATTTCTAGATCCTCTGTACGTGCCTCCTAAGACCCTGGAGTGCCTTGCAGGCTCTCTAAGGTTAAGAGTACATGACGCTGACTTGCACTGTCATGCCCTTTGTCTGTCCGAGTCAGTGTTGTCTACTCAGGCTGGCAGTGGGTCTCTGGGGACTCAGGTGGAGGTCTTTTGCATCCCCTCCTGCCTGATCCTTTTAAGCCGAGGTTCTGGGGAACTGAACCCGAGACCTGTCTGTGTGCAAAGCAGCTGCTCTACCACAGAGCCACGGGCTCTCCCCTTGGCTGCTGTCACAGCATTGGTGTTCTTAAAATGCTTTCTGAACCCTCTGACAAATTTTGTTGGTGATGTCATGAATCGGCACATTGCCTTCACAATTTAAAAAAGGCACTCACCAGCTGATTAAGACCATAAGGATTACATTTTTCCTTCTGCTCAACCATAAAAATGTCTTCTGTCTGAAACTGTGTCTCTGCGCACACACCCTTTTTTGTTTTTTGTTTTTTTGCTGGAAGATAGCCTAGCGGCCATAAATATTTAATGTGTCTACCCTGAGCAAAAGTATTGGATTGGATCCTACAATTCCATTCCTCTAATGGGTGGAGTCCTGTTCTTGCAGAATGTGCTTCTTCTACCAGTGTAGGGTGTAATAGAATGGAGTCCTAAGTCAGTGTATTTGAAATAAAGCAGAGGTTTACACGGCTTGTTATACCTTAGATCTGGGTCCCAGACGTGGTGCCTGTGGGTGCCACAAGTCCTCCCGATCCCTTTTCTGGCACTTTCCAACTGTTTTTAGGAAGTGGGTCAGGCCAGGTGGGGCTTTTGCCCAGCAAGGCTTTTGATTGGCTGCTAGAGATTTGATTGGCTGTGCAGATTTTTTAAAATGTTGCTTTGGCTGCAGCTGCCACCACAGCACAAGGATCTTCAACACTGACTGAAATAAAACTTTGGCAATAACTTTTGTGGCTCGCTCCACCTCCTGCAGCGGCTGTTTTGTGGCTGCGCCCACCATACTGTGTCAGAATTCCAAAGGTGTCCGCAGGCTCAAAACGGTTTGCAGACCCATTACTTAGATATAGAGCGTGGGATTTGCCTGTATACAGTCGCAGGTTCAATCCATAGTTTCTCGAGACAGCTACAGCTGATGCGTTATTGACAGATAACAGAGTCCCTCAGGGAATCTGTTTCTTCTATGCGGGGTTGTACTTCCTCTGGATGTTTATGATTAGTTATTGGTGCTGTATGTTTTACGTATTTATTTTTGTTTTTAACTTTTAATTACCTACTGTATGTCTTCTGTTGTAAGCCGCCCTGAGTCTTGCTTGCAAGGAAAGGTGGTCCAAAAATCTAAATGAGTAGATTTTGGGGGTGCTGTTGGATCCAGAGCTTCAGATGGAAGCACAAAACATCTCTGTAGCATGTAGCACCTCGAACTGGCCTTGGCTGTTTTGCCAGCTGCTGTCTTTCCTCACAAGGCAGGATTTGGCCACAGTTATCTATGCACTGGTTATCTCCAGGTTAGATTGCTGCAAGACACTTTGTGAGACTGTCTTTGAAGACTTTGGAAGGTTCTAGTAGTTCCAAGCCATGGTAGAAAATTTGACAAATGCAAGTTAAAGCAATCCTCTTTTGCCAGTCTTAAAAGAACTGCATGGTGGGGGGGCCAGGTTTCCTAAAGGGCCACCTTCATCCCTGTTAATCTGCCAGATAGGAAGGTTGTCTTCAGAGGCCCTGCTTTTGCACCAGAGGTGGCCAGTAACCAGGGCCTTCTCAGGTGTGGCCCCAAAATTGTGGAACACCCAACAGAAGAGATTTCCTGGTGCCGAAACTGATAGGTTTGGTGTCATACTGTCAGTGTTTGTTTGCCCCATGCTTTTAGATGTATTGCTTCCACTGAGATTTATGAAAATTATGGTGTCAGGTGCTATTGGTTGTTTCAAGGGGTGTGTGAAGTTTTCCAAAATTTTACATGCGTTCTTTAAATGTTCATCGTGGTGGTTATGATATTAATTGGTGTGGTAATATTTTATAAGCTGTCTCAAGTGTATTTCGTTGAGAAGCAAGATATAAGTGAACCTTGTGTAGAAATTCTGGGAATGATCTTTCGCAGGAGTAGCCACCAGGGGTCTTTCCTGAGATCTAACCAGGGGGATGTCTGCAGATTGAACCTGGGACCCTTCAGCATGCAAAGCAGGCGTTCTGCCTTGCAGTTGTGGCCCTGGAATAAAGTTTGAGCCCAGTGGCACCTTTAAGGCCAACAAAGCTTTATTCTGGGTATAAGCTTTTGGGTGCAAAAGCTAAAACCTTGCTGCTCTTAAAAGTGCCCCTGGACTCAAACTTTGTTCTGTTGTCCAAAAGCAACACGGCTACCTACCCACCTGAATCAGTCTTCATAGTTGTGGCCCTAGTCTATCTTATTCCCTGTCCTGTCTTGCAGCTAAGAAGTTTGCTGAGAATCAGCCCAAGAAGGAAACGCCCAAGAAGGAGAAGCAGCCAAAAGAAGAGAAGAAGTCGGAAAAGAAGGAAGAGAAGAAACCAGCACCTGAGCCCGAGGAAGAGATGGACGAGTGTGAGCAGGCCTTGGCAGCTGAGCCCAAATCCAAAGACCCCTTTGCTCACCTCCCCAAGAGGTAAGGCCCGGGACTGGAGAGGCCTTGCCAATTGTCAGGAGTCTCTGGTAGGGTTTCAGCCTAGCAGATGGTGGCTGAATCTTTCTGTGCACATAAGAAAAGTGCTGCTGGCTCAGACCAGTAATCCATCTAGTCCAGCATCCGGTCTCACACACTGGCCTTAACCAGTTCCTCTGGAGGGCAGAGACTTTCCCCTGGTGTTGCCTCCTGGCTCAGAGGTTGACGGCCTCCAAACATGGAGGTTCCCTTCAGTCACTAAGGCTTTTAGCCACTGATAGACCTCTGTGACTCTATCAGATCCCCTTTTAAAACTGTTTTTTTCCCTGTGGCCCTCACTGCATCCTCTGGCTGCGAATTCCATGTTTTAATCACTCATAATTTAACCATAGGGTAGGAAGGGGCAAGGAACAACGTTGCCCTTAAATGCTTCCTCTCTGTGTCCTCTCAGTGTGTTACATGATTTATAGTCTGCCTTTCTCACTGGGGCTCCAGGTGGATTACACAGAGTAAGTCGGTGCAGTCAGCAAGATGAGACATTCCATAAACAATAAAATAGGATTTGGGTTGTAGAACCTGCCAGAAGTCTAAAAACCAGAACTGAAGCAAAGCACAAATGTTAATATGGCGCATTAAATGATGCCGGGTTGCATAGTAGAAGAAGATTGGATTTATACCCCGCCCTTCACTAGCTAAGGGAGTCTCAGAGCGGTTTACAAACTCCTTTCCCTTCCCCTCCCTATAACAGACACCGTGTGAGGTAGGTGGGGCTGAGAGAGCTCTGACAGAAACTGCACTTTTTCAAGGACAGCTCTGACAGAACTATGGCTTGCCCAAGGTCATCCAGCAACTGCAAGTGGAGGAGTGGAGAATCAAACACGGTTCTCCCAGATTAGAGTCTGCGCACTTAACCACTACACCAAACGGGCTCCAATTTACAGCAAGTAGGATCCAACTTACAGCAACCCATGAAGAGCAGTATATACCACAGTCACTAATAATTTGTCCAAGTAACTTTGTGAATTTTGTACCGTGCTATCCTGTTGCCTGCGTAGAAAAGCCCTCTTGCCTAACTCAGTTTTGCATCGCTTGCGGAAGGCCAGGCGAAGGGGAGCCTTCCTGACCTCCTTAGGAAGGCCATTCTACAAGGTGGGGGCCACAACGGAGAAGGCAGTTGTCAATTTTTGCTCACAAGACTCCACAACTTAGAGGGAACATTGCAGGTTGGGACCTGCAGAAGGCCCCGCTCAGGTGAATGAAGCTTGTCGTGGCAGAGCACAAGGGGAGAGAGATGGTCTCAGAGATGCCAGGGTCCAAGGCCATGAAGGGCTTTGTATGTGACAGCCATTAGCCAGTTCTTCAAACGGAGCCCGGGCAAGACCTGAGCAAGGCTGTTAACGATAGGACGTTCATAAGGGTCATCATAATCGGAAGTGATTTGATGGCACTTAAAACACACACAAGTCGATGGGCAGCCAGTGGAGAGACCGCCGAATGGGAGTGCTATCCATGCCCCATCTTATCTTCTGATGATAACCAAGCTGCGGCATTCTGCACCAACTGGCGTTTCCAAAGTGATTTTGCGGGGAGACCAGGGTACAGTGCATTACAGCAGTCGAGTCTTGATGTCACCGTGGCAGGGATCCAGGTGGCCAGATCAGCCTTCTCGAGGCTAAGGGAACATTTTTTGAGCTCGGCTGAGTGGGAAGAAAGCCTTTTTCTTCCCACCCACCCCCTTCCCGCCCACCCCCTTTTTTTTTTGCGCAACTGCGTTAACTTGCTTCTCCAGCAATAATGTTGGGTCCAGTATAACCCCTGGGGCTCTTAACTGAGCTGGCAAGGGGCAGACGAACCCCATCAAGAGTGGAGAGCATCAGGTCTTCAAAAGACTCCCCCCTTCCCAACCACCATTACTTCCGTCTTTCCAGGATCTAGTTTCAGTTTGTTCACTCTTAGCCGTTTAATCACAGCAGCCAGGCAGCGACTGACGGCCTCTGCTGCCTCACCAGGAGATTTGGATGAGGAGGTATATATAGCTGTGTATCGTCTGCATATTGATGGTAGCCAACTCCCAAACTGTGAATGGTTTGGCTGGAGGGCTTTACATAGAGATCAAAGAGCATGGGGGATAGGTTCGCACCTTGTAGAACACTGCAGGATAGGGTCCCACGCTGACTATAACTGGTCTCCAGTGGTGGTTCTTTGGGTCTGGTCTGGTCTTTTTCTCCAGGTCCCCTGTGTCAGAGGCAGCAGATAAATCCAGTAGGAGCAACAGGGAGGCCTGACCTTAGTCTGCATTTAGATGAAGGAGGTCAGCTACAGCCAGCAGAGCCATCTCCGTCCCGTGGCCTGGTCTGAAACGAGACTGAAAAAGATCTCGGGCAGAGATGAGTTATCCAAGAAGACCTGCAGTTGGTCTGCTGCTGCTGTCTCAGTCACTTTGTCTGGGAAGGGCAGATTAGAGGCAGGGGGATGATTCGCTCCAGTGTGATTCGGCCTCTGTTCCGTCCTCCGGTTCTACCAGGCATGGCTTGCACCCTCTCCGTAAGTGGTAGAGACTCGCTTTCTTTCCTTAAACTGGAATGTAATTCTGCACCCTCTGCCATGACTCTGCGGCCCAGAATGAGAAGCTGGGCATCACCCGCTTACCTTCTGCTTCAGAAGGCAGTCCCGGGACAGGGCTGTTTCTCGGTTTTCTGCTGGCGGGCATTGGTGGGAGGCACTTGTTAATGCAAGACAGGGGTTGCAGTCAGACCACGTCTGGGCCAGACAGGGTAGATGCTTCGCTAGGGGAGAGGGCAGAGTTGCAGAAAGAGATCTGTCTAGAACCAAACCCTGCCCCTCTGGGAATGCTGGCAGCACCTCTCTGGCTGTTGAGGAAAGACAACAGGAGGCTGGGCTATAGATGAAGTTCTTTGTGTGATCCAGCGGGCGTCTTACCTTTGAAGAGCAAAGGGCAACTTAAGACAGTCGGTAACAGCCTCATCCTCCCGCCCCCCCAAGCAATGGCAGCATAGCTGACACCCAAGAGCCTTCAGCAGGGAGGCTGAAGGGAAAGAAGGGATCCTCTGAAGCTTCGAGACTGGGCTCAGCGGATGCCTGTCCTGTGAAGGTGGATCCTCAGACACCAATCTCCATTCCCACTGGAACACATTTAACTGTGCTGGGGATTGCCTCTTGCCAGTTTAGAGTCGTGGTTAAGAGTTTGGTTCCCCATTCCTCCTCCACATGCAGCCAGCTGGGTGACCTTGGGCAAGCCACTGTTTTCTCAGAGCTGTTCTCTCGAGGGCAGTTCTCTCAGAGCTCTCTCGGCTCCACCTGCCTCACAGGGTGTCTGTTGTGGGGAGAGGAAAGGAGACTGTAAGCCACTCTGAGACTCCCGAGTGAAGGGCAGGGGATAAATCCAGTCTCCTCCTCCTCTTGCAAGCTAATGGGGTGGGGGGTCTTGGACACGATGCATCTGTTACGAGGCTAACTTTCTCCTCCTCCTCCCCTTATTTGTGAACTGTCAGAGTCCCAGGAGCACGTTAGAGACCAACAAGAGTTTCAGGGTATCCCCTCTCGAGAGGCCAAGCTCCCCTTCTGCATGTCTGACCAAGGGAGCTCTGACTCTCGAACACGGATCTCTTGGAACTCATTGGTCTCTGAGGTGCTCCTGGGACTCTAAAACCAGGCCAACAAGGCTACCCTCTGAAACGACCTTATTGGTGAGGTTTTCGCAGGTCCCCACAATTACAAATAGCTGAAGGGCATCCCAAACCCTTTCTGTCGTCTTCTGAGGGGCTCCTGCGTTGGCCTGCTTCTGGGGCCCACGCTGCCATCAGACAGGGCACCAGCCAGGCTTGTTGGGCTCATTGCCCGGCTTGGATGCAGAGTGCCCCCCAGAAAACATGCCCAGCTGTCCCTTGTGGCTGAGGGTCCTCAGCCAGGAGAAGAAGAAGAAGAGGAGGGGATCGGATTTATACCCCGCCCTTCACTTGGAGTTTCAAAGCGGCTTACAGTCTCCTTTCCCTCCCCACAGCAGCCACCCTGTGAGGTAGGTGGGGCTGAGAGAGCTCTCCTGAGAACTGCCCAAAGAGGAGGACTAGTATATAACTCATCCAGCAGCTGCAAGTGGAGGAGTGGGGAATCCAACCCAGTTCTCCCAGATTAGCGTCTGCACTGCTAACCACTACACCAAACTGGAGTAGGCAGGCTGCCCTCCAGCCTAGTTGGCCCGCCACGAACGATGCTGCTGAGAGTGCCGAACTGCTTCACCCTGGTCGTTGCCCTCTCTTCTGCTCTTGCTTGGCAACGCCTCTCCTGGCGTCTCGGGCCAAGAAAGGCTTCCCCCGTCCCCTGCTTCCTGAGAACCCATTAACTGGAGATGCCAAGGTCTGAATCTGGACTGGCTGCATCCGGATCAGGTCGCCTACTGCTGAGGGGTGACTGGTATTCCCCCAGGGCAGTTTTGGAAACCAGGATTGTAAGCTATACGTGCCACGCCTTGGTGCTTCTGACAGTGGTTGTGAGGAGTGTGTGCAGAGCGGGGCTTTGGATTGGCTCGGTGCCAGTAGGCCTTGGGCTGGGGCTTGGAGGAGGGAGGCGGATGTGCCGCTTTCCAAGTAGGCCCTGCCTGACCCAGACAGTCCAGGCTAGCCTGGTCTCATCGCCTCTTGGGAGCTAAGCAGGGCTGGCCTCGGTTAGTCTCCATGTTCCCTCTAAGCTGTGGAGTCTGGTGAGCAAAAATTCTACTTTGTGAGCTACTGGCATGAAAGTTGTGAGCGAGCGATTTGGCCGCTGCATAAATTAGTTGGCTCTGTAGCCATCCTTCCTGAGCTAAGACAAAAACATACGAGCCAGAGGCTACAAAACTGTGAGCTAGCTCACACTAACTCAGCTTAGAGGGATCACTGACTGGGGGCCACCGCTTCAGATGCACTGAACGGCTCCTCGCTATGCAGACTTTTCCCATCTTTTGTGTGGATCCCTTGACTGCGTCTGAAGAAGTGGCATCTAAGCTCAAAACCTTCGGCTGTTGCTAGTCTTTAAGGTCCCTGGCCCAGCCTAGCCTGATCTCCTCAGATCTCAGAAGCTAAAGTTGGCCCTGCTTAGCACTTGGATGGGAGGCCACCAAGTAATACCAGGGTCACAACGCAGAGGCAGGCAATGGCAAACCACCTCTCCTGTTATCTCTTGCCTTGAAAGCCGTGTGGGGTCACCACCAGTGCTCCCTCTAAGCTGTGGAGACTTGTGAGCAAGAATTCTACTTTGTGAGCTACTGGCACTAAAGTTGTGAGCGAGCGATTTTGCTCCTGCGTAAATTAGTTTACCCTGGAGCCATCCTTTTTGAGCTAAGACAAAAATGTGTGAGCCGGAGGCTAAAAAACTGATCCAGCTCACACTAACTCAAGAGGGAACACTGGTTACTACATGGATGGGAGACCATGAGAGTCACAACGCAGAGGCAGGCAATGGCAAACCTTCTGTTAGCCTCTTGCGTTGAAAACCCCACAGAGTCACCCTAACTGGGCCGTGGCTTGACAGCGGGGTGTGTGTGTGTGTGTGTCATCCCAGTCTACAATAGACATGCACAAGTGTTGGTCCACTGAGTTGCCACCAGGGGGCAGGAGAGGGACATTGCTTGGTGGCGTCAGGGCCGGAATCCACCGTCTCCCACACCCTGCCATGGGCCTGGGACAGACTTGGTGCTCCATTTCAGCCTGGCTGGGCCCTCCCCTCCCCTGCTCAGTTGGAAGGGGGGTGGGAGCAGCTCTCCCTTGCTGCTGGCGGGATCTCTTTTGCCAGGACTGTGGGCGGCCAGTGTCCTAGCAGAAGGGAAGAGCTGCAGTGGAAGGCGTGCCCCCCTGTGCAGAGGCAAAATTTAGGAGTGTGGAATTCTGTGGGGGTGAACTAGGCTCGCATGACATCGGGCCAGTGGAGTTTTCGGCTAAACATGAGGAAGAGCTTCCTGACAGTTTGAGCGGTTCCCTCAGTGGAACAGGCTTCCTCGGGAGGTGGTGGGCTCTCCTCCTCCTCTGGGGGTTTTCAAGCAGAGGCTAGATGGCCATCTGACAGCACTGCTGATTCTTAGGCAGATCATGAGAGGGAGGGCTGCCTCAGTGCTTAGTTCTCGTGGCCCTTTCTTACACGCTGATCGCCACTTTGGGGTCAGGAAGCAATTTTTTCTCCAGCCCAGTTTGGCCAGGGCTGCTGGAGGGTTTTTGGTCATCTTCTGGGTGTGGAACAGCAGTGCAGGGGTTTGGACTAGATGACCCTGGAGCAGGGTTCCCTCTAAGCTAGTTAGTTACTGAGTTAGTGTGAGCTAGCTCACTGTTTTTTAGCCTCCGGCTCACACATGTTTGTCTTAGCTCAGGAAGGGATGGCTCCGGAGCAAACTAATTTATGCAGCAGCCAAATCGCTCGCTCACAACTTTAATGCCAGGAGCTCACAACAATAGGATTTTTGCTCACAAGACTCCACAGCTTAGAGGGGACATTGCCCTGGAGGTCCCTTCCAACTCTTTGAGTCTACATGTTGCTGGCTTGCTACCCTGTGACTGCAGCCTCCTTGCTTCCTATACAAATTCCTTTGGTCTCTTTGAGTGTAGGGGGTGACCAGGTTCATACTCTTGCTTCCCACCCCCGGTGTAGAAGATGCTCGTCTTCTGAACTGGGGTCTCCCCACCTTGAGGTATTTTTCAGAAATAGTGACACAGATCTGACCATGTTAGGACCCTGCCGCTGTTATCAGAAATGAGCCCTCCTTCCGGTGTGTTTTTGGAGAGTCATAGAAAGTGGGAAATGCCCACCTGTGTTTTTTACCTGGCTTGATCAATCCTGCTCCTCATTTTGGGTTAAGACTGCTTAAAGTTTTCTTTACCCAGCTGACCTCTGCTTCCGGGGGAACCCCCATTTTTCAGCTGACTAAACTTGCACCAGTCATGAGTGTGAACCCTGTGAATGGGCTCGATGTTCGTTTGCCCCATCAGAGCCATAAGAACATAAGAGAAGCCGATGTTGGGTCCGGCCAATGGCCCATCCAGTCCAACACTCTGTCACACAGTGGCCAAAAATACCAGGGCCCATCAGGCGGTCTTGAACTCCAGAAGCCTTCCCACTGTTGCCCCCCCCCCCAAGCACCGAGAATGCAGAGCATCACTTGCCCCAGACGGAGAGTTCCCGCCTCTCTGGGCCTTTGAGGGATTGCAGAGTACTGGAACACCTTCCCCCCTCAAGCCCCTGGAAGGGGGGGGGGGATACTCTGTAGAGCATCTGTGATGAAGTAGCACAAACATGAGGCTGGCCAGCTCTCCCCTCTGGCCTCCTA